TAGCGCCTCATCAAACTACGCTACCGCGTACCCCTTTTTATTAACAATTGTTGGACAAAATAAAGCAAAATTTATATAAGGTCACAAACGGATATCTCCATGTATCTGATAAAATGTTGCAAGAGATTTCATTGGAATTCGATATGGCAAATTTCAATAAAGGTCAGGTAGTTCTCAATTTCAGCAGCATTTGTTCGTAATAAATCCTGTACACGAGGCAACAAATTCCTCCTCCGCGTATCTCACAAATTCCTTTTCAGATTTACTTAAATTCGACAGCGGAGACTTCCTGTAATTACAATTAATTATTTCCACTATAATTAAGACCACTTCAAAGAATTTTGTTGGTAATTTTCTGCAAAAAATTATGAAGTAGGCCTTTTTCAGTCATCTTAGTAATGAGTCTGGAAGATGAAGGATATATCAAAGAATTGCTTTTGTATATCGTAGTGATGAGAGTAATTTCTCTTAAAGCAAAATTAATGCTTTAAGCCTCTACTCCTTCCCTTCTAACGAATGTAATAATTAATATCTTCATTTTACTGGATAAACTTAACATTCTACTTAGAACACGCTCACAATTAAGATTTACGTCGCGAACAATGAACTTTTATATCTCTATTACGGATAAGGAAAATTGCCTAATCAGTTTAAGGAGTCTATTATTGTACCAGTGCACAAGAAAGCCCCCCCCCCTGTGAACCAGATTATTTTACCAGTTTTGTTGACATTACATACATTCATATAAACAGATATAAGTACTAATGCAGAGCATATATTATAATTAAATTTGGAATTAGAACTCATTAAAAGTGTTAGTATTTCACTTGGTGTGACACATCGTGAAGCAGTCTCCTTCATGAGAAGGGACTTTGCCTTTCTTCAGGTGTCTTTACGTTTTTGATAGCCGCACACATTCTGCAGGGTTTCTGTAGAAATTACTTTTTCCAACTACAACAGTTGCATGAAGTTGGTGATCTTTCATGTTTCATGACAATCTCCAAACATAATTTCTTCTGTGTAAGATTTGAGGTTTTCACGGCGGTGACTATGAAGAAAGCAGTCTGCCTTTACCGGTTCTCACGGTCTCTCCGCTTGCGGATTTCTTATATTTTTCCTTCTACCCTGAAGATGGTGGCGATACGTTCCTCCGAAACGTCGGTTAACACAACATATATACGGTGCTAAATCCTAGAAGACTGCTTTCTTCATAACTTCTTCTTCGTGCTTGTGCATGATATAAATTTGATTACTCTACAAGATTTTGAAGAAAATTATTCCCGAGAAAGCTGTTCACTCTTTTAGAAGTTTGGTAGAATCTTAGACCAGTGTAACCTAACAAGTGTTCTAAGTTTCTTAAATCATCATTTTTGTCCAACGATCATAAACGTCATCGTTATCATCAATGTTTACATATGAATTACTCACCTCTAACCTCGCCCATTTCCGGCCTTTCTGTGACGTTGAGGGCCTAAAATCATCGTCATCATCATCTTCATTATTACTTTCATCACTTTCACAATCACTTGGCGTACCTGACAGCAAACCTCCATGTAATTTTTGCATAATTTCATTGTCTAGCAAAGTTTCCTTACTATGGCGTGCCATCATGAAATTGGATTAGATGGAAGGCGGAAAAGCAAGGACTACGGTAATTTTTAAAAGTAACAAAACACTGTAGAAAGCTATGTGTACATAGACTTACTTACTTACTTACTTAGTTACTCATGGAGCTGAGCCCTTCTGGATGAGCCGCCAATTCTGCAGCTACTAAAGAATTTTCCAGCATTTTATGGAACCCGAAGGTTCATTACCGTGTTCACAAAAGTCCTCCACTGGTACCTATCCTGATTCAGATCAATTCAATCCATATCATCCCATCCTATCTCTCTGAGATCCATATTAATATTGTCCACCTACCTATGCCTTGATCTTCCCTGTGGGCTCTTTCATTCTGGCTTTCCCACCAATATCCCATACTATGTGTACATAGACATCTAGAAATATTCTAATCAATGTATACATGGTTAGAATTTGAAGAAATCTCCGTTAGATGGCAGAATACTACTGGTAACTATAGTGATGCCAAAAGCAACGTTACTTTAGGTAGTCCGACTTTCATCCATGGATGCGAAAGTACAGTGATTCACGTAACCTGACAACTGTGTTAGCTGCACAATTGGCAGCTTCTCAAGAAGGGCTCACCCTGTGATGTCACTTAGCTACTTAGATCTTTCTATGTCTCCTTAAACTCGTGTGTTAAATGGTAGTTACGTGTATATCAAAGGCCTGTGATGAATTCCAATATTGCTTCAGAAAAGTAAAATAATTCTAGAACTTTGTTTTAGGTAGAACCTTTCTTAACTTACATGAGGAAATTCACATTCATCACAAAAAAAAACTATGCTTCCAGATACATTGAACATCTGAATGTGCTAAGCAGCCCGATTCAGTTCCTGCAAGCACTGACGTCCTCTTTACTCATCTGCACCCTGGGGTTCACAGCAATTGTAAGTTCGATCCGATAAATTAGTATAAACAGTTAATATATGGTGGAAATTTGTAATTCTGTAGCAAAACTTTTCCACGAATTAAACAATGTGACGAACTGTTCATTCATAAATTAGCAAACCTTAAATTTGAATTTAACGTCCATGTATTTATCATCCGTCAATATTTCAATACGTGTTCATTCACTATTTAATTTGTATTTTAGTTTAACATTATACACTTTGACACTACATACTTCGGCCCCAAACGGCCATTTTCAGGTGTCTTGTTATGTTACAAATATTTTATTAAATTATGTTAAAACTGCTACACTGTCTTAGTCCGTGTTAAAATCAGACGCTGTAGTTCTCTTTTCAAGGTAAAACCAGATAAAATCTTTTAAAGTTTCTGCCGAAAAACACCCTGGGCAGACATACATTTATGAACATGGACGACACCCCGTGTGAGGTGAAATAAAATGCACCAAAATAACGTGCGTATAATAGAAACTTAATCAGGTCACCTTAAAAACGAAATCGAACGTTACTCGTAGACAATTGTTGGTTAATTAGTAATAATTAAATCCGTCCATAACCTAAAGCCGATTTCAACAAACTCAGTATTTCGGGCTTGGGTCCTTAGTACCTTTATCATTTTCCCGGATATATCACACGTGCAGATCTATTTCAAGCGCTTTTCTTCATACGTTACTGAAATGTTGGCGTTTCCTAGAAAGAAATCCGTTTTGTATTTCGGGTGGGGCCTTATTTTTGGAGCCATAACATTCATATCCACCAGTTATAAAGAAATTCTCGAATACCGAAGATAAATAACAATCGTCTAGTCATTCAGCACTACAGAGGCGTACGTCCATACACAGATGTATTCCAGAGGGACAGACTTCAAAGTATATAGCCTGCGTTAATATTAATACTTTTCATAATCAGGGAGGCGTCTGAAAGTATGTAACTTCACTGTTACAAATCCTGCTCACATGTACTATATATATATGTAAGTCATTCTCCTAATTTGCGGGGATTGGGCTCCGTCCTCAAATATGCAGCAAAGGCAAAATTGTCCCTGTGCTTAATCAAGCACTATGCCATGAAGGCGTATGAAGGAGTGGATGTATAGATCCACTTTTCTTGACCTCGGCAATAGCTGGGGGTGAGTGATCAACTTCACGTCCTTTCCGCTTTATCTCGGGAAAAGAGCCCCCAGTACCCATTGCGTAGGAGGTTGGGTGGACCCCAAAGCCGGTCTGGAGAAGAGGAAATACTTGCCCCCACCAGGACTTTAACTCCGACCACTCAGTCTTCAAGCCCGTAGCCAGTCGCTATACTGATTACGCTACTGAGGACTATCAGCCTTTTTTTTTTTACTTGAGCACTATCAGCCTATTGTAAAACTTCCTACCTTGGTGGGCCAGGCTCATATTCAGTTTGCCTCTCATGGCTGAGTCCTGTCTACCCACAAGGTAACAATAGGAATATGCCCTTGCCAGGTGCTATTCACAGAGCCAATGGGACCTGCAGTTTCCATAAGCCAGGGTCTGCATCCTCTCAGAAATTTATAATAGTCACAATAAACCTGTACGTGTAATAGCAGCCAACGATTTGCAGACCGGAGTACAGTCAACTACCGAAATGTCTTCGCACCAAATGCACTCCATACATTTGACAACATCGAATGTAACGTAATGTTCGTATCAAACGCTACTACAAACCTTTATATAAACCATGTTTAAATTTTTGCATTCTGTCTATGATTTATGGCTGACTTCATGAGCTATGGGAGACAGCGGAATATTCTGTTATGTGGAGCTTGCGAAGCGTAACAGATGTGCTTTATGGCAAGATGTGCCAGGAACAATGAAAATTATTTTATTAAAATAAATTATTCAAAGGCATTTTATTTTATTTAAATTTATTGAATGCAGCATAAAGATACTATCTAAATGTGACATAGATTTCTAAACACGCTTCTTAACGATTTTACTACTGCCTGAATCCAACTACGCAACACAGAGCCTGACTCTTGGGAAATATGTGCAGTTGTTGGTGGTATATTTTCTTGCAGGGCAAAATCCTAAAGAAACAAAAGTTGGAGAAGAAAGTTATTCTCTTTTCCTAACAATGTGTAATTATTAAATTACATATAAATAATATTTTTCAGAAATAGAGAAGATTACTTCTTTCTTTTATTCTGGCACAAGGAGATCGTTCACAGGATGTATTGTAATAGACATATATTTTTTTTTTTCGGTATCATCTGCACGTGTCCCAGCCCTCCTGTTGGAATTTCTGACTAATTGTCTTGCAGTTTGTTTGGCGGAAGTGGTAAGACCATGGAAAAAAGGTAAAGATAAAGTTTTCCCTGTAACAGGCCGTGGAGGCCCCATAGGATTGTGAGACGTTGAGGCCCCCACAGTTTTTGTAGACAGACGCCTCACAGATGGCGGTAACGTTGTCAGCCTTATGCGCCGGCCGCCCATTACTCACCAGGATGATTCGTGGCGAGACCATGTTACTGTAATTAATTCCTTTACTTCAACAGGTGTCTGGAAACGCGGCGGTGTTGCCGAAGGTCATTATGTACACTGCGGATGCCCTTCTTCAGATCGGTCTTCCCTGCTGGTTTGCGACACAGCTTCAAGTGCACGTACGTTCGTAAAACTCACTTAAGAGATGTCCCACGGAAATTCATACGCGAACTGCTATGCCAGATATGAGTGTTGCGGCGGTGCGACATCTTGAACAGCTTAGTAATTTGACATATGGCCTCATCATTACCAGCTGGCCCTATCTCGTGTCAACTTTTTTTTATTTCTAGTGGGGTGGGACTAAGTCCCTTGTACTGCGGCCACTTCTGGCCTATTGTACCAGCCCCAGATGATAGGTGAGGGTGATCGTGGAGGAACTGGTGGAATGAAGATTGGCAGGAGGAACCGAAGTGCTCGGAGAAAATCTGCCCCAGCGCCACTTTGTCCACTACAAATCCCACTTGACAAGACCCGGGATCGAACCCGGGTCACCGCGGTGCGAAGCCAGCTACTAACCGCTTGAGCTATGGCGCGGCCCTCGTGTCAACTTACTGAAAAGTATGTTACGAACATTTGCTGCACGTAAGGCTTCAAAGGTTTCACCGTTCCGATACATCAAAATTGTAAGAAACGCAATTTATTTTTAATAACTAATCCATGTTAATTATATTATTTTAATATTACTCATTAAGCTATGTAAATTATACTGAGCGCCTATTGCCTTTTTACTTCTACGAATCAACAAACAATAGTAATTATTCTCAACTCAGTAATATTAATTAATTCCAATAATGAAATATAATCTAGTATTAAGCCTTCAAATTTGATCGGTCACAAAGCTATAACAGGACGGGAAATTGTGAGCTCGCTAATGTAGTCCGCAATGCAATACACAAATTTACTACGGGTGTTCTTCGAAGTTTATTGAACGCAGGTGAAATGGGAATAATTGAGTAAAAATTATTTGAAATCCCTCATACATATATATTTATGGTCTTGTGGAAATTATGCTTTATTATTAATTAATGTTGCTGAATAAGAGTATTTTGCAAAAGCTATTAGTAAAATCTCCCATATTGAATTTGAACAAAATTAAACAAAATATTTACGAAAAACAAGGATAAGTATCTCCTATAATAGGCTTTATTATGGATCAATATCCGACTAATCTTTGGTGCAAGTGATCTATATTGCTTACAGCAAAATCTGAGAAGCGGCCCATAGAATAGATGGAAAAGACCATTTACGGCCTTACGTAATTTAGCCTTTATAATGAATCACTAAGGATGAATATCGGAATTGCCCTACAACCATTAGCAGATGTCTTCACGTTGAACCAAAAGAAATACCTTTTGATTCTAGGTTACATGTACATGGACACCAGGTGCACACGAGCTCCAGGTTACAAACAGGGGAATTATTTGTCAACAAATCCCAACTCTCGCTAGCTATCAACGTGCTCTGTTACCTTCTATTACTTATAAATTTTTATAATGTATTTCCACTAATCTGAACCATGAACGCCTAACTGATGCCCTGAGTTCCGACCTGTGCACACGGCGTTGATGAAGAAGAAAACAAAAGGAAGAAACTCTGTGGTTTTAGTCCGCAAGCGAACTATACCGACCGAGCGACCGCCGCTTGTGGCCGAAGTTAGTGCCAAATTTAGCGGATAGAGGGCATCGCGTGATCAGCGCAACGAATCCACACGGCCGTTAATTTCGGTTTTCTAGACCGGACTTTGATGATGAACATCAGACATAATCATTGGAAGATAGCTTAACTTACCACTGAGCCGCCAAAAGCTAAATTATTCATATGATTTTTAGTAGGCCCACCGGTTTCTTTTGAAATAAAAATGCGAATTAATTCTCTGGTGTTCGGATAACCTTTTAGGTTACATCAGGCAAAGAAGAAGGTGGATAATATTAAAATAGATCTTAGAGAGGTAGGTTGCAATGGTATGGACTGGATCGATCTGGCTCAGGATAGGGACCAGCGGAGCGCTCTTGTGAACAAGGTAATGAACCTTCGGGTTCCATAACATGGTGGGAAGTTCTTGAGTAGCTGCACAATTGGTGGCTTCTCAAGAAGGGCTCGGCTCCAGGAAATAAGTTAATTTGTTAGGCAAAGAAGAAACAATTGTCTTCTTATTAATATTATACTAATAAACTCATATCTGAGTTCCAGATGTCTGCTGAATTGTCTTCAATAAGATATCTATGTCTCAGGGCGGGAGCATTGCTGAAGCTGCATATGCCTGTGAGTGGTACAACGAATCTATAGCCTTCCAGAAATCTGTTGGTTTGATCATGATGAGGGCCCAGCGCCCGGTCGTCCTGACACTGGGGCCCTTCGGAACCGTATCCCTAGAACTATTCGCAGCAGTGAGTTGCATTCTTACTTTCGATTCAATTTATGGATCCTTTAACATTTCTCTGTTTTAGCATCAAATGATGTACGGTGAATGTGTATGAGAAATGGAGAAGTCTATGAAAAATGCCCTAATCATAACTTAAGGTGTTACATCAGCGTTCGCTACAGAGACTAGAACAACCGTCATAAAACTTCGGACACGTGTTCGCATAGGCCACAGACCAATAGACCCTGTGTGTATTCTCCTGCCTGTTCCAACCTTCTCGGTCATAATTCTTACAGCACTGGAAGAATTATTTCATAGAATTTAACTTTAAATGATCAGTTTAATTATATTTTAAATTCGAATTACATAAACAAGTGAAGGGTCAGAGTTCGGGTCCCGGTAACGTCAAGAATTTTCTCTTCTCAACGCCATCCGGACCGGCTCTGGGGTTCACCCAACTTCTTCTCCAAAGAGTACCGTGAGCTCCTTCACCGGAAGTAAAGCGGCCGGGGCGTCAAGCTAACCACTCACCTCCAACTAGTGCCGAAGTCAAGAAAACTTAGATATACACATCCACCCTCCCATTTGTTTTGATGGCGTAGTGCTTACTCGTAATTAATTAAATATAGAAACAAATTCACTTACTTTTACTTCTATGAAGTGCCAAAAGTCATGGGATAGGTACCTAGTATCGTGTAGGACCACCTCTAGCCCGGCGAAGTGCAGCAACTTGACGTGGCATCGATTCCACAAGTGGACGGAAGACCTCTGAAGAGACGTTGAGCCATGCCGTCTGGATAGCCGCCCACAGCTCCCTGGTATTTGTAGGTGCAGGATTTTGGGTGCTAATGGACCTCTCCACCACGTCCCATAAATGCTCGATTGGGTTCATGCTTGGCAAACGTGGTGGTCACACCATTCGTCGGAACTCTCCAGAATGCTCCTCGAATCAATTCTCGACAACTCTGGCCCGATGACACGGTGCATTGTCCTGCTGGAATATCCCATCGTTGTGGGGATACATGAAGTCCATGAAGGGCTGCAAATGGTCACCAAGCTGTGTAACGTAGCGGTCACCGGTCAATGACGTGTTTAGGTGGACGAGCGGACCCAACTCATGCCACATGAACACACCCCACATCAGTATGGAACCACCACCAGCCTGCACGGTGCCTTGTTGACAACTGGGATCCATGGCCTCATGGGGTCTGCGCCACACCCGAACCCTACCATCCGCCCGAAACAACTGGTACCGTGACTCATCGGACCACGCCACATGTTGCCAATCCTCCAGGGTCCAATTAGCGACGTCACAAGCCCAGGTTAGGCGCTGTGTCCAGTGTCGTGGTGTTAACAGAGGTCTGGTCTGTCTTCTGCCCCCATATCCCATGGAAGCTAAAGAACGCTGCACTGACCTGCTGGATATGCGTCTGGTACCTCCTGCATTGAATGTGGATGTGATTTCAGCCAGTTCGCTTGTCTGTCACCACGGACACTTCTAGCCAGACGCCGCTGGTCACGATCATTAAGCAGCCGTGGTGGGCTACTGCGCTGTCCACGGTGAGTGGAAATGCCTTCCACAAGGTATTCCCGGTGCACACGTGACACCATGGATCGAGGAATGTTGAATGACCGCACAACTTCGGAAATGGAATATCCCATCCGCCTGGCACCCACTATCATGCCCCGTTCAAACTCCGATAATTCACGTCGGCTTGCCATGAGCAGACAGGCCGGTGTTCACCCTGACTCACGAGAGAACACCTCACAACTGATACTGCTCTGGGCATTCCCAAGCCAAGGGGCGGTGGCGCCACTTAAAAATAAATATACATACGGCCATCCCATGACTTTTGGCACTTGAGTGTATAATTTCTCCTTCTACCACGATGGATTGGGACGTCAGGCCTATTCACATCATAAAGTGAAACTATGGATCCCATATGCAGTTGGTAGAACTCTTGGACGGGGTATTGGCCCGTCGTAAGGCAGCTACTTGCACAGGACAACATAAAATCAGAATAAACCCAGATATTATTGCTTCGAGTGGGATTCAAACCCACGATCTCACAGTTTGATCTGGCCAAGATATTTCGTGCCTTATACAGCGCGGCATGTTCTGTTTTAATTAACCCAGAGCTAACATGTGAAGTACCTTAATTGCTGTCAGCATGAATGTACGTGTTAGTAGCGCTAGTAACTGTGGGTCCACAACCCCAGTGTCGGTACTTGTAACGTACGGTGGAACTGACTGACACGCTACACCCCTTTGGCTTATATTGTGCTATCAAACAAGACAACAAACTAAGAGGTATTCTATAGAGTGTTTATGCATATTTTTTTTTTATTTCAGGTGGTGCAATCAGCGTATTCCTACCTGACGTTACTGCGGCAAGTGTACGCGGGGAAGTAGTATGTGCGACACAGAATTTGTAAAAACAAATTGTAAGTTCAACATCAGTAAAAATTAAGCTCCGTAAATTACCAGCGGTCTTCAAGTGATTCTGTGTAGCAGCAAACAAAATGATTAATGAATTTACAGCTACTGCGTCGAGGAAATTCTTTGTGCTATGGCTTCGAACGAAGGAACGGTATGAAACTGCAAGTGCCGGCTGAAATACTAGGCTATAACTGACTGCGCGATCTGAGAACATTAGTTTTTAGAGCGCTGGCTTCCCATCGGGAGACACAAGTTCGATCCAAGCTCAGGTCAGCTGGGATTTGTAGTCAAATAGTGACACTCTGGCGGTTTATCTCAGGGTATTTGGGTTGCTACTGCCAGTTTCAATTCCAACTGCTCCAAATTAATTAATAATCCAGTCATCGATATTGTATATACTTTTTTTATTGCTAGTGGGGTGGGACTAAGTCCCTTGTACTGCGGCCACTTCTGGCCTATTGTACTAGCCCAATGATAGGTGAGGGTGATTGTGGAGCAATTGGTGGAATGAAGATTGGCAGGGGAAACCGAAGTACTCGGAGAAAACCCGCCCCAGCGCCATTTTGTCCACCACAAATCCCACTTGACCAGGCCCGGGATCAAATCAGGGCCGCCGCGGTGGGAAGCCAGCGACTAACCGCTTGAGCTAGTCGCGGCCCAAGTTAATTTAAGATAAATCATATACATACGCAAATTTCCACTAATTCAGGCATAGTTTGCCGGAGTCTTACGTTTCTCTTACCAGGCACATACGGTCCCTCAGTTTTCGAACAAATCCGAGTTAACACTATTGCGTATTTTATGCAATTACCTTTAAGGTGTAGAATCTAATTACTGTCAGACCATATGATTATCGTTGTCACATAACAGCGCCATATTTGGTTTTCATTCTCATCTCTTACTTACTTACTCATGGAGCTGAGCCCTTCTGGAGGAGCTGCCAATTCTGCAGCTACTCAAGGATTTCCCAGCATTTTATGGAGACCGAAGGTGCATTACCGTGTTCACAAGAGCCCTCCACTGGTCCCTATCCTGAGACAGATCAATCCGATTAATCCAATCCCATTCTATCTCTCTAAGACCCATTTTAATATTGTCCACCCACTTACGCCTTGGTCTTCCCTGTAGTCTCTTTCCTTCTGGCTTTCCCACCAATATCCTATACGCATTCCTTGTCTCTCACATTCGTGCTACATGCCCTGCCCATCTCATCCTCCTTGACTTTATCATTCTAATTATACTTGGAGAAGAGTACAAGTTATGAAGCTCCTCATTATGCAGTTTTCTCCAACCTCCTGTCACTTCATCTCTCTTCGGTCCAAATATTCTTCTCAATACCCTGTTCTCAAACACCCTCAGTCTACGTTCCTCCCTTAATATCAGCGACCAAATTTCACACCCATACAGAACCATAGGAAAAATTATATGTAGTATTGTATATTTAAATTTTTATGTTTTTGGACAGCAAACGAGAAGACAAAATGTTCTGGATTGAATGGTAGCAAGCATTACCCGAGTTCAATCTCCTCTTAATTTCCTCCTTAATTATGTTTCGATCTGTTATCGTCGTTCCCAAATATCTGAACTGTACCACATTTTCAAAACATCTGTTTCCTATCTTTATATCATGATTTTGCCCTGCATTTAGGTGACGAGACAGTAACATATACTTAGTTTTATCTGTGTTTACTTCTAGACCAACCTCCTATCTTTCGTCAATTAAAGTTTGTGCGTTTTTCTTTATGGTATCTATATTATCACCCAATAGATTCATGTCGGCATAGGCCAACAGCCGATGTGTCCCGTTTAATTTCAGTCCCACCTGGTTTTCATGGACCTTGCTAATGGCATATTCTAAAGCAAAGTTGAAAAGTAGTGGCAATAAAGCATCTCCTTGTTTTAGACCATTCTGGATAGGAAATTTATCAGACAAATGTTTACCTACACGGACTTTATTATATGTTTCATTTAAACACATTTTAATCAACCTAATTAGTTTCATGGGTATCCCAAACTCTATCAGAATATTGTACAATACTTCCCTTCTAACAAAATCACAGGCTATCCTGAAGTCAATGAATAGCTGATGTTCTGTCTCATCGTACTCCCATTTTTTCTCGAATATCTGACGAATGCAAAAGATCTGATCTGTATTCTATCTGTTAGGTCGAAATCCACACTGATGATCCCCAATAATTTCATCTATATATGGATTTAACCTTGAGAGAAGAATATTGGATAAAATTTTGTAAAAAGTTGATAGCAGTGATATCACCGATAATTACTACAATCAGTTTTATCACCCTTCTTCTGAACTGGTACAATAATAGACTCCTTCCACTGATCAGGCAATTTTTCCTTATGCCAAATAGAAGTAATTAGCTTGTAGATCTTAGAACGTAATATTTCGCCTCCTGCTTGAATAAGTTCTGCCGGAATTTGAACACTACCTGGCGATTTATACCTTTTCCATCTTGCAATAGCACTTTCAACCTCAAAAGGGCTAGGATCAGGTATTAACGGCTCAGCTGTATCGATTTCTGTCTGCCTAACATCACCGACCCTANGTTGTCCCCATTTAACTCGCTTGGATCCTGTAACCATTACAATTTCGCCTGCTTTTTGATCTAATAATTTTGAGCATCCTTCATCGAACCATGGCTTATGCTTCTTCAGTTCATAATAACCTAGACTCTCTTTGGCAGACATTTTTATATTCTCTCTAATAGTTTCCCAAGTTTTATTAACATCCACCTCAGTTTCCAAGTTTTCCACATCCGCGAACCAATTTGAGATTTCAACAAAATACTGCTCTTTACCCTCTACCTCATTTAATTTCTTGAGATTGAACCTCTCCATATGAACACTGTGTGTTGTTTGTTTGCTCATTGCCAGCCTTTCCCTAACCTTTGCCACCACCGGGTAGTGGTCAGTATCACAATCTGCTGCCCTGAATGATCGGACATCAAGTATACTTGAGTGCCGTCTCCTGTCTATCAAAATATGGTCTATTTGATTGTGTAGCTTCCCATCAGGAGATGTCCAAGTAAATTTATGGATGTTACGATGTGGGAACATTGTACTTTTGACAGTAAGATTTTCTGATGTGGCAAAGTTTACTACTCTAACTTCATTATCATTACTAATTTCATGCAAACTCTGATTCCCAATTGTTGGTTTGAAAATGTCTTCCCTCCTTACTTCGGCATTGAAATCCCCTAACAAAATTTTCATAGGGTACTTCGAGAATTTATCAAATACATGTTCTAGTTCTCATAGAACCTGTCCTTTATGTCATCAATTTTATCTTCTGTTTGGGCGTGAACATCTGTAACGATATCGCACCAGCGACCTTTTACTATTATTATATGATATCCTATCACTAACGAACTCTACCATCTTAACTGCTGATACGATTCTCTTATGTACGAAAAAAACCTGTACCTAATTCATGATTTTTATTCCCCTTTCCATAGAAAAATGTATAGTCTCCTGCTGGTGCGATGCCACCTCCATCCCAACTGACCTCCTGTATTCCTGCTAAATCTAACTTATATTGTAAGATTTCTTCTGCCACTACACTGAGCGAACCTGCCCTATAAAAACTGCGAACATTTCATTCTCATCTCTACGAAACGAAAAGTAAAGACTTTTCTTTCCGTCATGGATTTCCAATCTGAAAACCAACACATCTGTAGTAGAACAAACGATGACATACATATAGAACTACACAGATATAACGCCACTTGAAAGGTTTCAAAATTTGAAGGAATTAGCTGAAATTTACCAGATCCGGATTTTAAAATACTTGATAATTTCCTTCTTCATCTCTCTCTGAACGTACTGGAACTCTTTTCTGAATGGATGTCGCTGCATAAATCCTCAGTTCTTCAATACGCTGCCCACTTTGCTTTATGTGCAGTTATTAGTGTATAGTTCCCCTGAGTAAGAACTTCAGTTTTGTGGTGAACAACTTTCTTCAACTTGATACATTTCGATTTCACTGATAATTAAAGAGAAACTATTTATTTGTCATTCCAGGAAAGGTGGATGCAGAAAAGTTTACTATTTGGAGTGGAACCTGGTGATTCCTATAATCTCAGCCGTGTGAATTGTAGTATAGAATTCTCAATGGACATTGTTACAAACACTTAAGTAACGCATATCTCTAATGGCGGCGCCATAGCTCAAGCGGTTAGACGCTGGCTTCCCACCGCGGCGGCCCGGGTTCGATCGCGGGTCTGGTCAATTGGGATTTGTGGTGGACAAAGTGGCGCTGGGGCAGGTTTTCTCCGTGTACTTCGGTTTCCCATGCCAATCTTCATTCCACCAACTGCTCCACAATCACCCTCACCTATCATCTGGGGCTGGTACAATAGGCCAGAATTGGCCGCAGTGCAAGGGACTTAGTCCCACCTCACAGGCAATAAAAAAAGTATATCTTTGTTCAGTACTATTGGTACTGTTGAAGTTAAAAAATTAATTCTGTTGCAATAAGTCAGTTTATTTTAAACACTCATTAAATCACAAATTGAATTATGTCTCTGTGTAGTCTAGGCCATAATGGCTATATTTGGACTTGCTTAAAGTAATTTTTAACATGTCTGTCAGTAAAGTGCTTTTGGAGTTACCCCTCCCTCACGTCTCTTAGGCTATTTATTTTATGGAAACAACACATTAAATGTTTTACAATCTTCATGTAAATTTAAATAATAAATGGACAATAGTTTTGCGTTGCTTTGTTATGGGACTTAAATGAATAATGTTGAACTTAATATGTAAATTTTATATATAACAGCAATAAAATGTCAATTCCGAACCCTCGGACATTCGACTACACGCCCGACTCCATGAAAGCAGTAACAGAGTTATATCTTTCATAACCCAGAGGTGCAGGTCTATTAACATATAATAACATGTTTCTCAAGAATTCATTTTTATTGCTACGAAGTAACATAACGATATTAAAACTTTAATTTCTGAGGCGCTGCTTTGTGTACGCGTATGCTTGCGCATGCGCGTGGCGAGTATGATACTGTAAGACAGTTCGGACTGGTGGTAATTCCGATTAATGTGGGTTCGAATTTCCTAAGTCCTACTCTATTTACTTCTGCACCACTTCCTTTTCTGCCCTTCAGAATGATGTCTGTGAACATCAGTTACTAATGTTTAAATCATTCCGTTGAGCAACTGGCTGGGATATTCTCAAACAGAGGAAAGAAATAAAATTTGCGTAGAGTTACTGGCAAAGCCCTAAGTGCAGCTATTTGTGCTTCCACAATTCTAAATGCTGCCCATTTTATCCAAGATCTTACGCTCTTACGCGAATTAAACACGTAGACAATTTATTTTCTCACCGTTAATGAGTACAAACTGCACAATAAATTATCTGTTGTTATTTTCACTGCAAAATCCTGTTAATATTATAGTCTTAAAATGGTGTGTTCAGATAACTTTTTCAGTAGTTCCGTAATTTGAAGTCAAGGATTAATTTAAAAATTCTGAGTTTTTTTTAATCTATGAAGTATAAAAACGGCAAGAGACTTGATTTATTTAACACTAAGTAAATAGTATGAAACAGAAACCATAATTTTCATACAATCAAAATGTTTGGATATATTTTCATAAAATCATCCTCGGCCCATGTCTAGTTTATTCACATTCCTTACCACTCTAAAGTATGAATTTAGAACACGCCCAAAATCCAAGACAATTATGAATTAAGAAACGTAAAGCTCAGAGACCAGTTCTATGAACCAAAGTGGATGGTAAACTCGGGTCATACACCCGACATCTCTTTGCAATGTCACCACCAGTGTTGTCATACAAGTTTATGCTTCATTCAGACAAGGTTTGCAATTTATTGTGTCAGATGTAACATGTGATTTGCATTTTGATAGTGAAATGCTTTGTATGTTCTGTACAGGTTATTTAACAACATTCCTGTGCTCTTTTTATCTGCTTAATTATATTCTCTTAAAACTGAAGTAAATATTTTAAAATTATTTTCGTACTTGGTGCTTCATAAAAGTATGCGTATGTGTATGTGGTCATATTAAATTTTTCACATTATTGACATGTCCAAACACTTTCAATTACCAATATAATCTATGTTCAGTTTGACCGAAAGTACATCATTCTCTGCAAAGTATTTGGCAATATTTATTGGAGCCCAGAAACAATCATGATTATTAAAAATTGTTTCGAAATTTGTTGTGTCTGCATGTGTTCTCCTTGAGAATGTGTATAGGCTTTCAGATTCATCACCCGAAGTTTTAATTTCAAAACGGTACCTATGTTTACCTGCTATATCTGCTTTACCAATGTACTGAACAGCACCGAAGAATGAAGTTTCTGCTTTACTGTAAATAAATTTGACCCAGAAATCGCCTTCCTCACATGAAAATAAGAACATCATATCCATATCCTCACGGTTGTTAATTTTCTTTATTTTGAAGACTTTTTCAGACCCCAGGAACACTCGTTCCCTGTGGTGGCTTTCCATGTGTTCCAAAATGTTACGAACAGTACCAGTCCATTTACATTTACCGGCAAAACAGCTATGCAGACGGAAGTGACATTGCATTTCATGGGCCAGCATACTGTAACCATGTGGCATCGCTTCAGGACAGCCTTCGGAACGATATTTGCATGCGGCCAGAAGTTTTGTAGCAATTGCTTCCAAAGCAACATTCCTGGCTTGGATGAGGGGCGTGCTGCATTGCGGGCAGATGGGACGCGGCAGTTCAGAGCAGCTAAGGCACAAGCAGTGCCCAGATCTGTGAAATAGCAACCGTCACATTAACTAGAGCTGGAGACATGAAGTAACGAGTGGTAAAAATAGAGACTACTGATTTGTAGGTAAGAGCAAATTGTCAAAAACACGTATGTGAAACGATGAATTTTTTTGCTAAAAATTAATCATTATGATGTCAATTATTTTGAATATTCTCCATTATCTTGAGGTTTCTTCTGGGGATCCGGTGACCACCAGCCGTTTCGAACCTTCCCTCTATATATGATGATTGATACAAATCTCGTTTCTGAATATTTCTGTTTGAAAAACACTGCAGACGAAGTATAATGTACAAATTAATTTATTATATGTACGATAAAACACTGGGGGCACGCGGTAGCGTAGTTGGGTGAGGCACTATGCTACAAGTCGGAAGGTCGCGGGTTCTGGTCCCGATGATGTGGATTTTTTTTTCAAATTACCTAATCCCTCCGGCCACACTATGGCCCTGGGGTCGACTGGAATTTATTGAAGAATTTCGTGTTCATCCTCCTATTTGGGAGGTCAAAAGCAAAGAATACCACAACCATGAGATGAAAGAGAGTGCTTATTCAGCACTGATGGAAAGATTTCAAACAACTGACCAGCCGCACTATGGCCCTGGGGTTGACTCAGCCTCTAACAAAAATGAGTACCAGGAATTAAATAATTTTCCTGGGGACTACAGGGCGGCCGGCGCGTAAGGCTGAACACTTTGCCGCCATCTGTGAGCAGATTGTCTAGAAAATGTGGGAGCCTTGACCTCTAACAACCCTATGGACCTTCACGGCCTGTTACAAGATAGCTTTATGTCTTTTACCTTATGATAAAACACTGAAAACCCAATGTATAAAATGGGATTTCCAGAACATAACATTTTAACAGTCAATAAATTGTCGCAATAAAGGATGACACGGGACAGTGCACGAAGAAACAGGCGACCAAACTCCTATCTAATTGGTACCGAGGGCTCTTTCCCCGGGAGTGAAGCAGCCGAGAAGTGAAGCTAACCTATTCACCTCCAACTAGTACCGAGGTTAAGGGAACATGGGTCTATATATCCATTCCCCCAAATGTCTTCATGGCGTAGTGTTTAATTTGTTAACCATAAGGACAAATTTACCTTTTGCGTGTGGGAATGTGAATGTGTGATTGTGTATGAATATGGGTTTGTGTGTAGGTAAAGAACAAACCTGCACTGTTTGATGGGTGGGTACAGGTAGCGAAGGCAGGAGCTGGCAGAACACTGTAGCAATTTGAGCACGGCTGTGTTCAGGTCTTCGTCCTGTTCATCTGATAATGAAGTTCTGGAAGCGCTCAGCAGTTTTAATGAAATCTTTTCGAGGTTCCGTCTGTCTGAAGGAAGCATTCTGGAATTCAGGTACATAAAGTAAGCATGCTACTGGGATGTCTAGCAACAAAATATACAAATATATATCATTATTTCTGTCCGGCCTAGAAAACTGAGATTAACGGCCGTGGGGATTCGTTGCGCTGACCACACGACACCCTCTGTCCGCTAAAGTTGGCACTAACTTCGCCGACAAGCGGCGGTCGCTCGGTCGGTATATTTCGCTTGCAGACTAAAACCACGTAGTTTTTACCATTATTTCTGAGAGTCCACGCTTAATGAATTGTTTTCTAAGTACGACCTTCCAAGTGCAGTCGGAAGGCCAGGGAAAGAGACCGAGAATGGTACGTCACTCAGCGATAAGTTTCTGACAGTATTGCTGATAACTGTGTGACTACGTGGCAGTTGGCAGAGTGTATTCTTGTTGCTATAAGATCATCCCAACCCTCTACTTTGAAATCATTCATTCTGAGAATCACCCTATTGCTGAACACGCCTTCCCGACAGGCCTTAAAGACGAGGACACCATCTAAACTTCTATTCCAGAAGTATCCAGTTTCAATCTCGTCCGAACTACCGGCTACAAAGACTGATATTTTTTGTAGTTTTCCTCGGGTATCCCACGTGATGCGTTATGATGCCAGGGGGGCTGCGGTATAGGGGTTCCTGTTCAAGGATATATCCCTATAGTAGTCCCTCCCCGAATCAATGAAACACCTTTCTCTTTCCTAATCAAAAACAAGAAAGTAACATTTATTCAATCAACAAAACAAAATATCAATGGTCTGACTCGAACTGGTCTAACTGCAATCACTTCTCCTGTCTGTAAAAGTTATTGAGCCTGGCTGGCAGAAAACAGATCTCTACTTACAAAATGCTGAAAAATACGTGGACATCAGGTCTCAACTCGTCATTTGTAGAGGTCTGTAATCGGCCTGATGTTTCCATTGTCACCCCCGCTCCTCGGAGAGTGGGTCACGGTTCGATCTTAAAGCACTTGTGTCTACTAATTGTGACCCTCACTCCCTTTTAACTAACCTTAAAAATGACAATTGTTTCCCCAAGGCCTATTGTAACAGAAGTTACAATTGGATAATTATTTTCCGTCTCATTCTCTCTCTTTAAAACCGACCATCTTTGTTCTGTAATTTCATGTGAGTTAGACTTTGCTCTCACCGCTACATGCATCACTCTACCATCTGCACAGGAAATCAACGTGACCTAGACTTGCTGACTCGGCTCCTGAAACTCGCTTAGTCAGTATCCTACATCCCGTGGGCTTTAACTCTACTCAGACACAGCGTGTTTCAGTGAATATGTGTATAACAAATAATCTGAAATATTCAATCAATACCTATTACTAAATGTCCTTATCCCTTCTTAATAAGGCACAATAGATCACTGTGGTCGCGGTGCAAGGACCAAGAAAGGCCATCCCTTATACATTCATTCATCCCTTCCAAATAAACATGATATATGCAGTATATAACAGTGCAAGGATAAAACCTCGAAAAAGACAATGACCTTTCACTTTTAACCCACACTCACTTAACATTCCTGATCAGCCTTCCACCCCATATGCCAATCAATATGTATGCAGCTGAAATTAACTCCAAAGAGAAGAGAGGTCTACATGGATACAATAGAACGCACAGGCATTCTTTGTTGCAAGCAAGAAACGTGCACCGTAATTCAGTGATTAGCATTCAAATTTCACATCTGGAATATCTCCGATTGGAAAATCGACCAATATTCTTCTGTACTTACTTTAGTTTTTCGGTATTTTCCGTAGTCCCTCTAGAAAAATGTAATAACAGTATCTTAAAATACGACCCTCAGCACACAAGCAAGTTACCACAAAGCGAGTGTCAGTGATTCGACGAAAATAGCTAATTGTGACACAATCGTTTGGCACATATGTATGTGTGTGTCATCAAGTCACGTGTTTGAGACGTATGCTTTACTGGGAATACCCGTTTCATGTAGATGAAGAACGGTCGTATTTCCTGACGCTGAAACACTGTGGGTATTTCACAACATTGAAAGAGATTATCAAATAAATCTTATTAATCTGTCACCTTATGAAATTCCACACCTCCATGTGTAATCGTTTATCAGTCACAGTTATCAATCAAAGAAATTTATAGGCCTAAATGTTTACAACGATTCTTTAAATTCAATTTAAAATTACAAGTTCTGAATTCAGCTACATCTAGCTTCATTACACAGAAGCTCGTATCTACCGTTGATATTAACTGATTTACCGTCAATATTCACTGATTTAAGCCACGTTTCTTTTTAACCTTTACAAGCGCTTTCTCAACTGCAGAAGTCATTGAGGTCTTTGGGAGGGATTTTCTGGATTATGCACAAAAGAAGACGTCAAATACAGCGGTTTTGGATTGTTTCAAGGTCCTATCTCAGAATTGACGTGGAAAGAGATGGGAAAACTACAATAAAATGTTTATTTCATGACCGATATTCGAACCTTGGATCTCCAGATGATTATTTAGTATTCAAAGGTTATATTCACTGACTCGATTCAACTCTGCTCGTGTGTTTTCTATAAATTCTGCAAATTAACTTAATGAACGATAAATAAAAAAGCTTGGTGGATATTTATGAACGTTATGTCATATGGCGTATATTACTTACGTTTACAATCGTTGGCCCCCAATTACAGCCTCTGGAACTTTTGTGAACACTCAGTTCAGTTACGAGACGTTGGTTGATAAGCTTTATCAGCAATGTGCCTACCATTGGTTGTCTACAGATTATTACAGTACATCAATATGATCAATATCATTTGCTGGCACGTATGACGTCATGCATATACTCCGCCATCTATCCGTAAGGCAATAATACTGCAAGGAAGGCGTTCAGGCGACAGCAGCTGCTGTAGGAGCTAAGTTGGCAGGAAGTCTAACTGCCTGAGTCTGCTAAGGAACTTGCCCCAGGATAAAAGCGAGCAATGTGAGCTGGTGTAATATATTCACTCATTATCATCGGTATGAGAAAGTTTCTCAGCCTTTTTAAGTATGCTTCCTTTATTTTTAAAAATAAAATTAGGCTTACAGGATCTCCATCCTCTATGTGCGTCTGTGTATCCCCCTTTATCAACTTTTGAACGTCAGAAATAATTTTTTAAACTCGATATGTACATCATGACACCTGAGCCCATCTCAACGGCGTACTTCATAAATCCCTCCCATCAGTCTGTGTGCCTGTATGTGTACACTTTCCTGCCGTTACCAGGCAGCGGATTGGTGAACCCGTCCCTGCTGCAATGAATACACGGAACAGCAGAACTGTTCGACGCGTCGTGCGGTCCATGCATCAAAGGAGAATCTATGTGCCTCTCTGTGTATCCTCTTACCGTTGCTAGGCAACGGTTCGGTAGATATTTTACCGCGGCAACTACAAATTTTTTGAGGCATCATTTTCTTCAAATATGTACCAGTAACCTTTGAAGTACGGGGCATTTTAATGCTCGCTTGGCGCACAGACCGAATTAAAAGTTCTAGCTTTAAATTCTAACTATACCAGACTATAGAAAACTAGTTATCACCGCTGTATACTTACATATCTCAATTGAACGAAAACAATATAAAAGAGGAGTGAACGCCTCATATTTTTAAAAATATTTTATAATTTTTCTAGCGAATTCAATGTGTTTATTTGTTCCAGACTAATAAAATTTTTCTGAACCATAAATTGAACACTTACCTAGAAATGTGGATGTGTCCTCCTGTCATGCCTGCCTAAGTTACACGTGCTCTTCCTCCCCATATTCCACATCATCCCTAATTATGGTTCTTAAATTGCTGAGTGGACAATATACCTCGAACTTCATTCAAGAGAGACGCATTTTCATCACGCACATATTAGACTGGACTATTACAGTTCTGCTCCCTTGCTGTAGATCACGTTACACACCCAACCCTCTACTGCAGCCTTCCTCAAACTTTTTACCTTTGAGGAACGCTTGAAATAATTTTCAAATCTCAGGGAACCCCTGCATAAACACTATTATAAAGGTAGGATCTGGATTTCGTGTAAATAAAAGTTGCAAACTGATCTGAATTAGTGCTACTTACAACATGAAAATTTTATGACAATGTTGAAGAGTAAAGTTAATCAAAAACGTAAGATAAATCAAAGCAATATCAACAATAATGTACCCTAAAACTGCGTTATTTTTTTTAACTAAAATTGACAATGAATTTTACATTTTTAATGCGAAACCTATGCTTGTTTTCTTTGAACAAATACTTAATTCTGGGTCTAAATTCAGACAAGCACACGTTGTGTTCTTCTCCAGCAGAAATGAGACGATTTCTATCTTTGCTCTTGATTACTGTTAAACAAGAAAAAATTGTTCACGCATGTAAGAAGCCGAAAACTGCAAGCAATGTGTACATTGCTTTCTGTGAATGACAGGATACTCTTCTTTCACAGAAATCCAGAATATGTCCACTGGTAGGTCAGTAAATCTCATCTTGATTATGTGATCAGGCTGCAGTTCACAAAATTCTTCCTCTTCATTTGAAGTTAAGTTCTCAGGCTGAGCAGGTGACTGAGAATTAGGGCTCCTCACGCAGTCATGCACTTGTGTTGAAAGAGAAGGAAAATAAGGTTTAATTTTGTTCCGCAATTCTTCAAAGCCGGTTATCAATAAGACTCGAGACTTGGTGTTATGCTTCTTCACTCCCAAGTTCCAGCAGCCGTGGAAACATTTCAAGATTTCCTCTCACAACATGATTTTTCCAAAGAATCAGTTTCGTTTGAAGTCTGAGAATCTTGTCAATTGAAGTCGAGACGTTTTCTCTGGGGCCTTGCAGAGACTTGTTCAGCTGATTCATGTGATGAAAAAGGTCTGTTAAGTAGGCTAGTTTCTCCAGCCACTCTTCATCTTCAAAGCATTTTGAAAAATCTGGCCTAGTGTTTTATTGAAAGTAAACCTGCAATTCAGCTTTCAGCACAAACATTCTGTTGAGAACTCTTCCTCTATTAAGCCAC